TCGTGTTTTGTATTTTCAAGAAAACAAAGCAATAGAAAATGATTGTAACGATAGCAGTTCCTCTCTAGCAAATATGAAAACTATACATAATGTCTACCAAATTATTCACTATTGTCTCTCCATGATAATTAATACTTAATACTTAATCTCCCCAGAGACTAATTATTCATCAACAAGAGCACCTCATGTCCTCATGAGCACTGTTGCTTCTTACACCTTCTAGAATATTCTTCTCCTCCCTTGAACATCTCTGCATTCTGTTCTCTGTGGAAATTCCATTAGAACCAATGGGTATTCTAGCCTTGGAACCAGTTCATAGTAGGCAATCAAGATTTATAGGAGGGATAAGAAAAACTTCCCATTCACAATCTGCTCCAAGGTTAAGGTGAAGTTAGAAAGTTCTGGAATTGTTCCAGGTGTTATATAATACCTCCACTGTAATTCCCACAGCGAGGCCCAGGCACCACATAAACCATTCTATTACCATGAGCTTTTCATCAAGGAGAGACAAAAATCAGAAAGGAGCATTCTTAAAGAGCCTGATCTAAAAACACAGGATCCAAACCACAGGATTTGAACCAGCTGGCTTAACTTTGGTTTGTATTTTTGTCACGGAGAAAAAATGAATGGGCGTAGCAATAATGAGGTCAAGACCTCTTCATACTAGCACTCAATGTAGCATCATTATAATTACGATATAGAATGAAGAGTATTATAATCATCATCACTAGGATAAACACATGATTATTCTATTTTCAGGTATCATTTTGTTTAATCCTTCTGATCAATTTATGAAAGGGCTATTAACATTGCTACTTTATAGACGATAGAACAGGTGCATGGAGTGTATTGCTCACAATTATAAACCTAAGGAACAAAGGAAGGATTCAACAAATCTCCCTTCCTCAGGAATCTCAGCAGACAGGGAACATCTGCTGGGTGACACTTGGCTTTCCAGCTGTTTTGCATTGCTTTGTTTACTCATTTCCTAAAGCCAAGTTGAGCGTCTAATCTTCCAGGTTCTCTACAAATAAAGGTACAACGTGGCTGGCTCTTCTAGGTTTCTTATGTGACAGAGCCCCAGTCTTTCCAGCCTCATCCTTTACAACCTCCTGGTACTGGTTCTCCAGTGACAAAGGTCGCCGTGTCACTTTGATGTCTGAGCTCCACATCTGCTGCTGCTCTGGTTCCCTCAGCATAAACGCCCCACACTCCCTTTCCTAATGTCATCTTTATCTTTAACAAGAATTAGGTTCAGCCAGGGCCTGGCTCACCCCTGTCACCCTAGCTACTTGGGATGCTGGGATCTGAGGATTGTGATTCAAAGCCAGCTGGGGCAGACAAAGCCATGATTCTTTTCTCCAACTAACCAGCAAAAAGCTGGAAGCGCAGGTATGACTCAAGTAGTAGAACTCCAGCCTTGACTAAGGAAACCAGCTTAGGTAATGAGGCACTGAGTTCAAGCCCCAGTACCGGAACACACACACACACACACACACACACACACACACACACGCACGCACGCACGCACGCACGCACGCGCACATACACACGCACACACACACATACCACACACCACATACACACACACACATACACACACACACCACACACACACACCACACACACACACACACACACACACACACACACACACACATACAGTGGCCATTTCATTCTTTCTCACCAGTCTTGTTGCATTGCTTTTACATCCTCTCTTGTATTATGGCTGGATCATCCTCAGTCTGTACTTCTGACACTCCTAATCTTCTGTTCAACCCATGCTAGCCTGCGGGCACTTCACAGTATGCTTTTAGAAACTGTTTCTACCTGACCTTCCCAGGCCATTTCTTTCTTAGAACCATACTCCCGACTCCTCCTGAATGTCACTGGAACCCTTTGCTATGTAATTACCTTATGCTTTCTGCAGAGGTTGTTGTAGAGAACTCTGAAATTTTTTCTTGTGTAGCTACTGCGATATGCTCCACCAATAAGGTATTCTATGACCAATCCAATGTCGATGAGAGTTATTCTGTAGCCTGAGAGAAGGGTATGCTACAAGGAAACGGGCAAGGAATTATACCTTCCCATGGTCCTCCTCCATCTCATTTGCTGTGCTATCGGAGTCAGAGTCACCTGACTTCTAATTAAAACTCGCATAGTATACTACACTTGACTATATTTATTCAAATGCATGTATATTTGCAAAATACATGGGTTTACCTGAAAAAAAAAAGAAGAGAAAAGAAGGAAGAAGAGATAGAGGGGAAAGTGAGGAGGCAGAGAGGCAGAAACAGCGGGGAAAGAGCACACATGGTTGTCAATGTCGATTTAATGTCTCTGAAACTGGAGGCTATATTAAAGCTAAGGTCATTTTCCTTTGGAGTAAGCAAATTTTATCAACAGCTGGTCACATGAATCAGTTTGTAAGGTTGGAAAAGTTGATTACAAGGTGTAAGTTATCTCTCTCTGTGTTTCTCTCTAACCACTTTTCCCACTATCTCTCACTCTTTCCCTCTTTTTTTATGTAAATCCATGTATTTTATATAACTATGCATGCATTTGAATAAATATAGTGAAATGTAGTATAACATGCTAGCTTTAATGAGATATTATATAACTATTACAACAGATGAAAACCATGAAGTGTATAGTGAATGCATGCAATCCAAATTTAACACGGGCTTAACTTTTGTCTTGCTGTTGAATACTTTGCACTGTGTTAACTATATCATATATAAAACAAGAGCACTGAAAGGAACAGGACAGGAAAATATAAGAGAAAGGATTATAAGCCAAATGAGATAAAACACCAGGATATTCTGAAACAAATGTTAGGGCTGATTGAAAAGTGAATGAAGATTTCCCAGTGCGTGGGTCACAGTGAGGATGAAACCTTTTGAACCTTTCCCAATCATAGTACTTTTTCATAGCCATTCTCTTCTGAATTGCTATTCATCAGACGCGGTTTAAGACATGCAGAGTGCGGGGCTGGGAAGGTGGCTCAGTGGTAGAGCGCTTGCCTTGCATGCATGAGGCCCTGGTTTCGATTCCCCAGCACCACATAAGCAAAAAAAAAAAAAGCCAGAAGTGGTGCTGTGGCTCAAGTGGTAGAGCGCTAGCCTTGAGCTGAAGAGCTGAGGGACAGCGCCCAGGCCCAGAGTTCATGCCCCACGACTGGACCTCCCCCCGCCCCCAAAAAAGACATGCAGAGTGCTTTGGATGAAGATCTCTGAATGGACAGATTGTGAGCAATAGCTATGAGCAAGAAAAAGGTAATATATATAATTCTTACTTTTCACCATTCATGTGTGTGTGTGTATGTGTGTGCCTGCACATGCCTGCAAGCGCACCATAGCTCCACTTTCAACATATTGGTATTTATTGGAGACAAAAGTCTCATGGACTTCAATACCTAGACTGGCTTTAAATTGTGATCCTTAGATCAGCCTCCTGAGTAGCTAACATCACAGGTGTGAATCACAGATGTACATCTTAATAGATAAGAGTACCCTGGAGAGGGGGGAGGAAAAAAAAGCAAGTCATGGCCCGGTGTTGAAGGCTCATGCCTATAATCCTAGACACTCAGGAAACTGAAATCTGAGGATCATGATTTGAAGTTAGACCAGACAGCAAAGTCCCTAAGATCCTTATCTCCAATTAACCACCAGAAAATGGGAAGTGGCTGTGGCTCAAAGTGGTAGAGCAGTAGCCTTGAGCAGAAAAGCTCAGGGACAGCACCTACTCCCTGAGTTCAAGAACCACAACAGGAAAAAAAAAAAGTAATTCATAAACCAGGTGCTGATGGCTCACACCTGTAATCCTAGCTTCTCAGCAGGCTAAGATATGAGGATTATGGTTCAAAGCCAGCAAGGCAGAAAAGCCTATGAAATTCTTTTGTGTGTGTGTGAAATTCTTGTCTCTAATAAACTATTCAAAAAAAAAAAAGCCAGAAGCAGTACTTTGGCTCAAGTGGTAGAGTGCTAGCCTTAAGCAAAAGAAAAAGAAAAAAGAGAAAAAAAAAAGCTCAGAGGCAGCACCCAAGCCCTAAGTTCAAGCCCCAGGACTGGTATAAAAATAAAAGTAAGTCATGAGCTCCATGCAGGTGGGTTAAAAATTTAAAAACATTAATAAAGAAGAAAATGCAGGAGTATAGTTCTAAAATTATTTAGAATCACACGTTAAAAAAACAAGTAACTCCAACTCATACACAGGATTAAAATTATGCAAACCAATGTTATATATATTTATATAAATGCACATAGTTACCCAACACATATACAAATACACAACGCCATTCACAGTCTACCTTGTTAAATCTAAAAATCTCTTTTTTTCACATTTTAACTCTGGGAAGCTGGGAAGAATTCCAAAGTTGATAGTTTCATTGTTGCTTTTTTTTTTAGTGTTTTGGTTTCATGAATGTTACATGAATATACTTTGAATTGTATACATACTGGTTTAACATAGTTACTTATTTTTTTCATGTAGAGATAGAAGTAAATCATTGAAAATGAAATATAAGAGCAGGTAGTTAACTAGAAAACCCAAATCTACATTTAATAAACCAAGATTGGATGAATCCACTATCGCAAGGCTAAAATAACATACAAAAGTTATTTTCGCATGTTCTAAATTAGGTTACCTGTTTTACATCTTGGACAAGATAACGCAAGAACATATTACTTGGGCCTTGTTTCTGTGACAAAGAACAAGAGGAAAAGTTATTCCCTTTAACCCCACATGACGGACAGCATTTTACTTCAGAATATATGAGTAACCGAATACACTTACCAAATACAGAAACAGAATATGAAAGTTTGACTTAATAACTTCAAAGAAGGAATAACAATAATAATAATGATGATAACCTAAAGAAGGGATTTCTAAAGAAGCTACAATTAGGTAAAATATTCTTCAAAGTAATATGTACAGCAAGGATGCTAATTTATGTGGTAAGAGGCAGAAATAAATTTTAAGTAATTTATAAATATTCTTTACCATAAGTAAATGTCACACAATCACAAAGTACATTGACTCAACTGGTACTTTCTTGAATCTTTACAATGTTCAATCAGGTTACTAAGGGATTCCATGGACTGTTTATAATGGAAATAATATATAATATAATTGTGGGGAAAAGTACATATTTATACTAGAAAACAGGCAACAATATAATAATGTGTGTGCTAAGAAAAAGAGTTACAAATAAATCATACTCTCATGGCACTTGTGGCTTATTCCTATAATCTCACTTACCCAGGAGGTTGACATCTGACCATCAAGGTTTGCAGCCAGCCCAGCAGGAAAATCCTTGAGACTCTTATCTCCAATTAACTACCAAAAAGCCAGCAGTGGAGCTGTGGCTTGTGGTCGAGCACCAGGCTTGAGCGAAAAAGCTAAGAGACAGTGCCTAGGCCCTGAGTTCAAGCACTAGTACTAGCATCAAAAGCAAAAAGAACAAATAATCTACTCTCAGGAACAAATCACTGTGAATAACTAGAGTATTCAAGAATGAAGGACTTGAATGGATTTTTTAATTGTGTAAATAGCGTACAGAGGGGTTACAATTACATGAGCAAGATAATGGGTACATTTATTATCAAGCATTGTTGCCTCCTCCTTTGTTTCCCCTTACCATCCCTTCCCATCTCCCCCCTCTCGCTCCCCCTCCCCCGCCAAAGTTGTTTGAATGGATTTTTTTTTTGGCCAGTCCTGGGACTTGAACTCAGGGCTTGGGCACTGTCCCTGAACTTCTTTTGATCAAGGCTATCACTCTACCACTTGAGCCACAGTGCCACTTCCAGCTTTTTCTGTTTATGCCATACTGAGGAATCGAACCCAGGGCTTCATGCATGCTAAACAAGCACTCTAACATTAAGCCACATTCCCAGCCCACTTAAATAGATCATTGAAGAAAGGACAATATCGAAAGGATAAGGAAGAATAATTCCAGAAGGACGCATAGCTTAAGCAGTTGCTGTTCCAATGAATAAGCCAGCCTCGTTTCAATAGCATTTTCCATAAGGAAGATGCAAGAACAACATTTTAATAGTTGGCTGTCGGATAAAATGGAATTGGTTAGAATGTTTCTTCTTTGGTTGAAAAGTCTGTGTATCTACAAATGGTCTGTGTAGAGACTCATACTCAAGGTGACAGAGTACCAATAACTCACACCTATAATCCTAGCTACCCAGGAGGCTCAGATCTGGAGACTGAGGTTCAAAACCACCTTGGGCAGGAAAGTCTATGAGTCTCTTATTTCCAATTAACCACCAAAAAGCTAGAAGTGGAGGTGTGGCCCAAGTGGTAGAGCTCTAACCTTGAGCAACAAAGCTAAAGGACAGTGCCCAGGTCATGAGTTTAAGCCCTACTACTAGCACCAAGAAGTTCTTTTTAAAATCTTAAGGGAGATGACGGATGGACTGTTCATTACTCACTGTGTTATAGAGCTCTTCCAGTCGCTGGATGGTAAGAAATCGATGGAGGTTCACTCCACTTTCTATTAAGAGCTTCACAAAATCTACCCGATCCATCACTAAAGCATCTAGCATTGCTTGCTCTAGGGCACCATGCTTCAGAAGAGAGAAATACATAAGAGATACAATGACAATTAACAAAACAGAAATAAGTAAAGGTGATTATGACCACTAGCATTGTAAGTAATCTTTTGTTCTATTTTTCTCTAATTTCTATTATCAATACGATTCTACTATGTGGTTAGAAGTGGCGAGAAGAGAGCATATGAGAGCATGCTATATAAGACGAACAAGTTAGGCAAGTCCTTTTTATGAGGATTTTCACTCAAGTCAGATAACTGAAATCAAAGAGAGCTGGGCACTGGTGGCTCACACCTGTAATCCTAGCTACTCGGGAGGCTGAGATCTGAGGATCCAGCCAGGCAAGAAAGTCCGTGAAACTCTTATCTCCAATAAACCACCAGAAAACCAGAAGTGGTGCTGTGGCTCAAGTGGGAGATCACTAGCCTTGAGCTGAAGAGCTGAGGAACAGCACCCAGGCCCAGAGTTCAAGACCTGTGACTGACAAAAAGGAAGAGGAGGAGGGGATGGAAGAAGAGGAGGAGGAGGAGGAGGAGGAAGAGGAGGAGGGCATGGAGGAAGAGGAGGAGGAGGAGGAGGAGGAAGAGGAGGAGGAGGAGGAGAAGGAAAAAAAAAGAAATCACAGAAGAAGAAGGAGGAGGAGGAGGAAAAAGAAAAGAAAACAAAAGAAATCACAGAAGAAGGAGGAGGAGGAGGAGGAGGAAGAAAAGAAAACAAAAGAAATCACAGAAGAAGGAGGAGGAGGAGGAGGAGGAAAAAGAAAAGAAATCACTGCCCATAAAGGAACAGTTTACTAACTTGAACAAAAGGAGCTCTGGGTTTTACTGATTCTTTTTGAGGAATGGGTTGGAGTGTGCTCACTATCTGTCAGTCATAGACATCCTTTCAGGAGAAATGTTCCTCTTGTGTGGAAGGACCTAGCTTGTCCTTGGTAGGCAAATGGATGGTCAGTTTTCTTTGAGTTAGAGCTGCGGACATCAACTAGCAACACTGTCCTAGCGTTAAGCTAGGCTTGAAGAACCTGCAGTACTGAGAAAGCACAAGATGTGTAGTTGAAGAAATCACATCCAATAAGCCAAGTTAGCTTCTTGTGATAGTCGTGGATAAAACATTTTCCAAGTGACTGACTCACCACCATGCTTTCACAGCTGAGTAGCATCTGACTCAAGAGTTTTGAGGCAGCAAAAGGGACAAACACCATATAAAGACCAAGATGCCAGCTGTTTACCCCATTTGAGTCAGCTCTCAGGTATCTGTGAGTGCCAGGGAAAAGTCAGTATTTTTAACTAAAGCAAGGCTTCGAGTTTCTACAAAGTCACCTAAGCACTTGCTATCAGAGTTCACTGGTGACAAGTGTTATCTTATAGCAGATTGTTGGTTCTGCTCCAACAGGCTGCCTGAGAGCTAAGTTAATCCTGGGGGCTTACTGAAGGCATCTCCTGGGACAAAGGTTTTCCTTGGTAATAATTTCCCCCGGTCTCTGTTGGTAATTTGTGCAGCCATTTTGAACCTTGTAACCTTTAACTCGGATTAGTCATAAGTGACACTTAGTCTATAAACATTCTGACCTTGTGGCTGAATCCTGTGCTTTATGACAGAACTATAGAAGAAAACATACATGACGCTTTTAATCAGCATTAAGTAAAGGGCACAGAATTTCTTTGCATTTCTGTCCCCCAGTGGTGGTAATGTTTCCTGAAGCACGTTTTGCACTTACTAAGTTCTATGCAAAAAATAAACAAATAAACGGGACAACTTTTAAGTTGTAACAAACAAAATGAAAATTGTTTCATTTGATCATGTTAAAAATCCTTTCAGCTGGTTGCCAGAGGTTCACACCTGGAGTCCTAGCTACTCAGAAAGTTAAGATCTGAGGGTCGAAGTTTGAAGCCAGCCTAGGCAGACAAAACTGAGAGACTCTTATTTCCAATTAACCAGCAAAAGGCCAGAAAGTAAGGGTATGGCTCAAGTGACAGAGGGCCAGTCATAAGCAAAAGAGCTAAGAGATCCAAGGCCCAAGTTCAAGCCTCAGTGTCCTCAACACACACACACACACACACACACACACACACAATAACCTCCATTCTGTTTTTCCTCCAACTTCCTACTTCAGTTTCAATTAGCTCAAGGGATGGAAAAAGCTATTTTCAGGGAGGTAAAGTAGAATAGGGAAATACCTTAGTTTTCCAGTGGTGCCCAGCTATACAGATGTTATCTATCGCTCCTTCGATTTTCTATTTGTCCTCCCGTAACAAACCAGCATGTAAAAATGTTTTTTTTCCAAATAACTTCACCTTCACTATACCTTCCAATGTTGCCCATATGTTAAGATGTGCTTCTTGGCAATGTCCATTCTGTCCCAAGCCATTGCCAGGTTTAATTGTTCCGATATTGATAAGTTTGTGCCTAGGGCGAAATAAAGGAAAAAAATCATAGGTGTATTCAAACTGTCAAACATCAAGGGCCCTAGAACGTGAAAACAGGAAACAAGGAACGAATTGGTTCAGTCGCTCACCCTTCAGCAGAGCTGTCAGAATTGCTAGGTCAAGGTCTTGCTGCTCCTCAGAATCCACATCAAATATGGTAATCTAGAATAGTTTAAGAAACACAATTATTCTAGGCATTCACACACCATGAGGAACGTAAAGATGCAATGCCTCTACATAAATATATAAATATAAAATAATATTTATCAAAATAAACTCCAGGAAATGGAAACAAGAGGTTTTTCTTTGTTGTTGTTGTTTTCCTTTTCTTTTTGTCTTGTTTGTTTATCTGTCTTTGAGAAAGTAAAAGGAGGTGCGGGGGGAGGGGCGGGGAGGCACAAAAATGGAGGGCAAAGATGATCAAATGCAGCAGGGGTACTCAGTAGACACCATGTTGAAAATGAATGATGCAACTTGTGGGTAAGGTCAGAAGGGAAAATCTGGGAGAGAGGAAAGGAATGACACTGTCCAAAAAGAAATGTACTCTTTTCCTGACCTCAGTGCCTGTAACCCTAACAATAAAAATAAAAAAGAAACAACTATTTAATAATAATTGAAAATAAAATTAAAAAAGGAAAGAGAATGCTGCATATTCTACAGACTCCTAAAAAAATTTCAAGCAGTATTAATAGAATGCACATGTAAGCAAACAAATTGAGGAGAATATTCATTCTGTAATTTCCAAACAACATAAAGTGTAACTTTGTGTGAATATATGTTTGTGTGTGTGCACATACATGAGTGTGCCTGACTTGAGCTTGAACTCAGGACTGCTGCACTTTTTTACTCAAGGTTAGGGATCAACCTCCAGATCTCTAATTCTACTTCTAGCTTTTTGGTGGCTAACTCGAGATTAACCAGTAATCTTCAGATCTCAGCTTGCTGAGTAGCTAGGATTACAGGCATGAGACACCAGTGTCTGACCAATTCTAACTTTTTTTTTTAACTTTTAGAAGAGAAAACTTTTTTAAGTAGGTTGACAAAGACTGGGAGAAATTTGGGGCTGGGAATGTGGCTCAGTGGCAGAGTGCTTACCTGGCATGCATGAGGCCCTGGGTTCAATTCCTTAGCACCTCATAAACAGAAAAGGCTGGAAGTGGTGCTGTGGCTCAAGTGGTAGAGCACTAGTTGTAAGCTGAAGAGCTGAGGGACAGCACCCAGGCCCAGAGTTCAAGCCCCACCACCGACCAAAAATAAATAAATAGAAAAGAATGGGAGGAATTTGGAGAGTAGGAACTAAATTGTAAATATTCCAAGCACCCTACAACTTACTGCATGGCTAACATGCTCTGAAAATATTTGTATTTTTACTACTTCTGATGCATTTTCCGTAATGCTGATTATTGAAAGTGCTTTGATCCAGGGAGAACGTAGAATCTAAAGCGTGCGGGGTAGGACGGCGATGTGGGGGTGAGCAGTCTCGTTGACTCAACACAGGGGCTAATTCTAGAAAGTCACATCCGTCTCACTCCAGCTTGGCTTAAATTCCGCATTTTCAAACAGGCACCGGTGGCTCATACGCGCGATCCTAGCTACTCAGGAAGCAGAGATGTGAGGATCCAGGTTCGATGCCAACCAGGCTAGGAAAACACGTGGTTCTTATCTCCCACAAGTGAAAGCTATGATTCAAATGGCAGAGTGCTAGCCTTGAGCACAGAAGGATAGGGGCCGGTGCTCCTGTCCTGGGTTCAAGCCTCAATACACACTCACACACACACACTCACACGCACACACTCACACACACACTCACACGCACGCACTCACAGAAACAGACACACACTCACGCACGCACACACAGAAACAGACACACACTCACGCACGCACACACGCGCACACGCACATGCGCGCACACACACCCACTCATGCACACACACGCACACACACAGACACACACATGTACACGTGCACACGCACACACTCACACACTCACACGCACACACACACACTCACAGACACACACTCACACGCACACACTCACACACACACTCACACGCACGCACTCACAGAAACAGACACACACTCACGCACGCACACACGCGCACACGCACATGCGCGCACACACTCACACCCACTCATGCACACACACGCACACACACATGTACACGTGCACACGCACACACTCACACACACACTCACACGCACACGCACACGCTCACACGCACACACTCACACACACACTCACACGCACGCACTCACAGAAACAGACACACACTCACGCACGCACACACACTCACACACTCACACGCACACACACTCACACGCACACGCACACACACACTCACAGACACACACGCACACACACACACTCACACACACGCACAGACACACACTCACACGCATGCACTCACACACAGACACACACACACACTCGCATGCACACACACTCACACACACTCACACTCACACATGCACACACACACACTCACACACATGCATGCACGCTCGCACGCACACACACGCACACACACACACACACACACGAGTGAAGACACCATACTTACGGAATCCCTGTAGGCCATGCACTGCATTAGAATGTGGAAGAGGTGTCTGGACTGCTCGGGGCTGAAGTTGAAGGTGCTTTCGATCATGCTGAGGATCCCGTCTTTCACCTGCGGACGCAGCATCCTGCCAGAGAAAGAAACGTCCCCACGCGATACAACCCAGAGAAGGGCCACAGCCGGCAGCCTCGGCCATGAAACCCACGTCGCCACCCAACCTGCACCATTCTGCCAGAGAGCAGCGAGCTGAGCAGGAGGGAAAGGGTGCCAGGAAGAGGCTAAATGTCTACGTGACGATGAACGGACCTGCCACAGCCCTGAACCTGTGAGGTACAGGTCTCTCTGTCTCTCTGTCTCTCTGTCCCTCTCTCTGTCTCTCTGTCTCTGTCTGTCTCTGTCTCTGTCTGTCTCTGTCTCTTTGTCTCTCTCTATTTCTCTCTGTCTTTGTCTCTCTCTCTGTCTCTATCTCTGTCTGTCTCGTTCTCTGTCTCTCTCTGTTTCTGTCTCTGTCTCTCTCTGTGTCTCTGTCTGTCTGTCTGTCTCTCTCTCTCTCAGCAGTACTAGAATTTGAACTCAGGATCTCACTCTTCCTTCCCAGGCACTCTACACCACTTCAGCTATACTACTACTCCTTTTTGCTTTGGTTATTTTTCAAGCAGCGTCTTGCATTTTTCAAGCAGGGTCTTGCATTTTTGCCTACGAACAGCCACCTACACTTCCAAGGATTCCCACCATGCCGTCACACCTGCTTTATTTGTTGAGATGCTGCTCGTTTTTGCTCATGGCTTCACACCATGATCCTCCTTATCGCTGCCTCCAGAGTAACTGGGCTTACAGGTGGGAGCCACCAGCTCCAACCCAGCTCTTCACATGATAGATTGTGGGATTAAGGCTACCAAATTCTCGAAAGGATCAAAACCCCTATAAGGTTTAAGAATTACTCATCCAGGGTGAACAAGAAAGGAAAAAGTCTGAGAAGAGAGAGGAGAGGTAGAAGGTAGAGCTAAAAAGCTGGGGAGAAAAAAATGCAAGCAGAAATCTCAACATACCTATGTGAAAATGGAGTTGAGAAACTTAAAGGGCGAGGTGTTGGGACAGACAGGGAGAACAATGAAAGGACTGGCATTAATCAAGAGCCACTGTGCTCATAAACTACTTAAAGATAAAAAATTAATAAACTTAGCTAAGAAAGAAGAAAGCGCCAGGGACTGGTAACTCACACCTGTAATCCTAGCTACTCAGGAGGCTGAGATCTGAGGATCGTGGTTCAAAGCCAGCTCAGGCAGGAAAGTCTGTGAGACTCTTCTCCAACTAAGCTCCTGTGAAAAGCTCAAACACCTAGTCCTTGAATTCAAGCCTCGTGACAAAAAAAAAGCAAGAGAGAGAGGGAGGGAGGGAAGGAAGGAAGGAAGGAAGAAAGGAAGGAAGGAAGGAAGGAACGAACGAACGAACGAAGGAAGGAAGGAAGGAAAGAAGGAAGGAAGGAAGGAAGGAAGGAAGGAAGGAAGGAAGGAAGGAAGGAAGGAAGGAAGGAAGGAAGGAAGGAAGGAAGGAAGGCCATTTCTCTGCTAAGAAAATAGCAGTTCTTCTGGAGCATGTTGGTACTGATGAACAAATAGAGTCGCTGAACATTGTGTTCCAATCTCAGCCTCTGTGCTCCAACGATGTGGCCGCATAAATGCAGCTGGAAGAAGAAGCAGCGTGGAGGAAGGAGACATCACTGGAGTCGCACAGAGGAAGAGCTAGCCACTCACCCTTCGTCGGCTAAGTGTTTGTGAGTGAAGGCCAGGAGGTCGGCTGCTCTGCCCGAACCTTCACAGACCACCACGGGGACTTCGTTCTTCACCGTCTCCCACACCGACAGGATGACGTTGGGGCCGCCTTCCACCACCAGCCCCATCACGGGCACCCCTGGGAGTGAGCCTGGTTCAGATCACACACAATTCCACCTGGTTACGTGGCCCAGCCAGCCAGTCTCTCTACACGCGCATCTGAAGATGACCCCCTCTCGCCATGCCTGCACACACCCTCACTCTTCTGCTTTACCCAGACTTGCCCAGATCAAGAGCAAACCAGGAACAGATTTCAAATAAAACGTGGCATAAATACGGTGAGAGTACCTTCCAGCTTTTGCCAGAAAATAAAGGCAGATAAAGATGCACAGTGATAATTGTTTGAAAAAAACAAACAAACAAACAAAACCAGTCCTCAAGAGATCTTAGCTTTTCCTTGCAGGAAATTCTAAACGTATCCGTGCGTACACAGCTGCATGATGGATTGAGCATCTCCACGGATGATCAGCCCCTTGCCATTTCCATCTGTGTTTTGTTTTTGCGTCTGGGTCTCGCTAGGTAAGCCAGGATGGCCTCAGATTCGCAATCCTCCCACCTCAGCCTTCGAGTGTCGGAATTACAACTGTGCCGCACTCGTGGTGTGAATGTGAACGTGGTATGGGGTCAGAAACTGTCCCCTCCCTCCCCGTGAGCTGCTCTCCGCTGGGAATGACAAGTACAGGAACGTATCCTGCCTTCACCCACTGAGAAATGCCTGCATACAGGCTCAGTAAGCTCGTAATGATAGTTATTTCTAGGAATGAGATTGGATGGGCAAACTTCAAACGCTTAATATATCAATATGTTCTATTTTCCACTGTTCAGATTTCATACAGTGGTCCTATATTAAGAATGGGGGAGAAATCACTGTGGAGTCATTCTTCCATAAAAGAGATGAAGTGAAACAAAGCTTGACAGGCCATGCAGAATCTATCCTACGTGTATATTTACAGTGTATACATGGCTATATATTTTATATGTCTGTATACAGATAGCTATGTAACAGGTTAACACATAGCCAGACCACTATGGAAGCTAGTCATTACACCATTAGCTGTGGGGGAGAAAGAGGAGGATTGTACCAATCATATAAATTTCTTATTTAAGTTTTAACATCACATTGACACTTTCCTTTTTTGTGAATGTGCCAGTCTTGGGGTTTGAACTCAGGGCCTGGACACTGTCCCTGAGCTTCTTTTGCTTAAGGCTAGCCCTTTACTATGTGAGCCACAGCTCCTTTGCTAGCCTTTTTTTGGGGTGGGGGGGTCAGAGTTTATTGAAGATGAGAGTCTCATGGAATTTGCTGCCTGGATTGGCTTCAAGTCGCAATCCTCAGATCTCAGCCTCCTGAGTAGCTAGGATTGCAGGCATGAGGCACCAGTGCCTGGTGACATTTTACCTTTTAATCATTATTTTTTCCAATTTTATTTCTTGAGAGAAGAAAAGTTCACAGAAAACATCATCCTCACACTTCAGCAATAGAGACTCTGAACTTGGGGGCCAAAGGCCAAGGCTGACCCACAGATCTCTCCCTGACATAGAGACCTGGCGTCCACACGGATGACAAGAGACCAGCCTTCCCCCCCAGCAGGATCTCAGCCACGTGTGTTGGCTGAGCCCTGTGACAGAACTCACGGCTGTGTATTTTCTGCAGTGAGATGTACTTCTCCAGGCTCCTCCGGAGCTTCATTTCGTTCCCATACTTGCCCACAGTCCCATCGTCGGACAGGATGAAGTGTGAGTGCATGCAGTTGAGGGTGGTGAGCGTGCTGAGGGAGTTCCCCAGGGTCTGGTACATGCACACCACCTGAGACACAGCAAGGACAAGGGAAGGTCAAACGGATCCCGAAGCCTGTGGCTCACACCTGTCATCCTAGCTGCTCAGGAGGCTGAAAATCGGAGGACTGTGATTCAAAGCCAGCCTGGGCAGAAAAGTCATGATACTGTTAGCTCCAATAAAGCAGCACAAAGCTGGAAGTAGAAATGTGGCTCAAACAGTAGAGTCACAGCCCTGAGCAACAAAACCCAGTGAGAACCTGAAGCCTTGAGTTCGAAACCCACTACCAGCCTCTCAAAAAAGAGGTCACAGCTCAGCTCTTTCCTTGGGCTTAATAACCACCCAGCCAGGTCCAATTTCATCCAACTGAAAACAAAAAGGAAAACAACACAATCAAGGTCTTTCTTAATATACCTGAATACTTCCTTAAGATGCATAAGCTTTAAAGAGTGGGTTTAATAATTCCCCTAATTAAGAATGGTAACCATGGGTTCCAGTATAAAAAAAAAAAACTTTCATACAACACCAAAAAAAGGGGGGTGGGATGTATAAGTTTGCGCTCTTGTATCTTGCATAAGATATGTAAACTAGAAAAAAAAAACTTGAATAATGATCAATTCCTGCCCTGTTTTTTTCAGGCTGATTTTCCTCTTGTGTAAATGAGGATGATAATCACTCCTATGTTAGAGGATTTCTGTGAGGCTTCAAAGAAATAATGCACATAAAAAGCACGATGATATTTGACAAATATTAAGTTTTCGTGGTTACCTTTATCATTCTAAAACATGATACCAAGGTTAGAAATCAGAAAGAGAATGGCTTATAGATTTACTATACATATTTTGTGTCTATGGTAAAATAATCAACAATATTAAATCAAAGCTGGGGACAGCTGCAGTATACATAACAAAAGAAAATGTTACTAGGTTGAATTGTAAAACAAAAAAAGGTCTCTGAAGGAGTAGAACTGGCTCAAGTGGTGGAGCGCCAGCCCCAGTATCAGCACAAAAAATAATAATAGAGTTTTGAAGTCCCTAAAGACAAGTATAAAAATACTGTGCAAAAATCTATGTACAAGGATATTGAATCTCACAGGCAGCCAAAGTAAATTGGAACAGTTAGGTATTGTTTTATATCTATCAGATTGCCCCAAAAGAACTAAACCTAGAAGACCCTAAATGACAAAGGTACAGAGTAACAATTGCTCTCGTAGCAAATATGGATTTTTTTTCAAACACAATGTACGGGGTCTCAAGTTTTGAAATGCATATACCAACTGGACTAATCATTCTTCTTTAAGAATTTTTTTCTAGAGAGAAATAAACTAGTACCAAACATATCTATGTCTTATCACAATATTAATATTATTATCTGTAAGAGTGACAAACAGGAAACCACCATAAAACACAATTATGCAGGAATAACTGATTGAAGTTATAAAGTAGTAGAACACTACCAGGCGTGAGTTGAACAACAGTGCTTGTAATTCTAGCTACTCTAGAGCCTGAAAACTGGATGATCTTGATTCAAAGCCTGCTTGGGCAGAAAAGTCTATGAAACTCTTAACTCCAATTAACTAGTATAATGCCACCCTGGAGGTATGGCTCAAGTGGTCAAATGTCAGCTATGAGCAAGCAAGGTGAACAAGAATGAGAGGCTGAGTTCAAGTCCTGGTTTTAGCATCCATACACACAAAACACTACCAGTCAGGAAGAACCAAACTCAAACTCTGACTGTGACTCCCTCATCCTGTCCCACTAAAAGCAATTGGCAATTTCTCTAAGGAGCAAAAAACACATGATGATGGTAGGGTTGTGTTTTTTTTTTTATCTTGGAAAGCAGCAAAGTTGTGAGATGACAAAACTTTGTAAAAGGATTCAGGACAGAAAAGGGCTCTATTTGTCAAAGAAGACAACAATTCTATAAAAATAGAATACAATTGATGATGGTTAAGAGATTGGAATGCCAAATTAATTTAAATGTATTAGTTTAAAGAAAAAATCTTTCACCTTTAGACAATGCTAGGTAACCATCTTATTATTTTGAAAACTGTCAAATAAAGAGAAGGTATCAAACATTTTTTTCTACCCTTTCAATATAACTCTATCACGAATATTTTGAGGAGAAACATCAAATGAATGTTTGATGAGAAAGTGCTTTTCCTTGCTGAGTACTTAAAAATTATAGAAATAGATGAATACATCGATGTATTATTTCAAAATGAAACAGCAAAAAGCCAGAAGTGGAGCTCTGGCTCAAGTGGTAGAGCATCAACCTTGGACCCAAAAGCACAGGGACAGCACCCAGGCCCTGCACACACACAAAATGGAAACTATTAGAAAGGAGGAAGGGGACCAGCAGGAAGAGGATAATGGGACAAGAGAGGGTAATGGGGGCAAATTGATCAAAATACTTAGTGCATGATTGTGAAAATGTCATTATGAAATCCATTATTTTGTACAATTAGTGTACACTAATAGAAATTTTAAACTAGTTCATAAATGCTAGACTGTATGGTTAATATTGAAATATGATAACAACATTATAGTTATATTTTCTTAAATTGCTCCTATATTTCAGAAATCCATAGTGAGTATTTACAGATAAAAGTTGGCTCAAAATTCTAAAGAGTAGCTGATGGAGTGGCTCAAGCCTGTGTAGCAACTACAAGGTCCTAAGTTCAAACCCCAGTACTGCATAAATAAATGAATGAGAGCATTGTTGGAAACATGAAGAAGCAGGTTGAATACTTCACTGGTGAGTACCCATATAGAATTTTATACACTGTTAAAATTACATAGGTTTAAGAGTGCAGAAAATGTTTAAGAGCATATGAAGTGTTTATAAGAGTGTGGGAAAGGTTAATAAGAGCATGGGAAAGGTTTATAGGAGAATGAGAAGAGTTTATAAAGCCATGTATATATATATATATTTAAATATAATGCTATTTCATGGATTTTCACCTGTTGAGAGGGTCTCTGGAATGTAACTCCACAAGGGATCACTGTGGTTATCTTGCTTCTTTAGACCTTTTTATCCAACATCTTATGTTTACAAAAAAAAAAAATCCTACATGTCTTATAAATAAACTAAGACCAGCCCATTCCCTTCAGATAAGACCAAAGGATCAAATACACTCAAGTAAATGAAGCAGAGATTAACAGGAAGGGGTGGGGGATGAGAACTAGCAAGGATGTGTCTTGTTTTACCTCTTGCAAACCACAACAAATGTATTGACTGTTTCAGGACAGGTGCCATGGAAGAGATTTACACAGCATATCGCACAGTGTGATTTATAGCTCAGGAAATGGTTCTGGCTACAGTGTTGAGAATAGAGACAAGAGAACCAGGAAGAGAAGCTATCGCAATCATTACAGCATCTGAAATGGTCCTTGGACACACACCCCATCCCCCACCCCATCAGCGGGAAGGGAACCAGAGAGGTCAAATGCTAGGTATATTTTGAAAATGGAGGTGAGATCACTTTTTGAAGGATCAGGTATGAAGCATCAGACAAAGAGCTCATTCTGACCTGAAGCTAAGGCTTATGACTTGAGCAACTCCAAGGACAGGATTGTCAAGTTCCATACTAGGATAAGGGCTCTACTGTAGTAGAAAGGTGGCAACCGGGTTTTGGATATATTACACCAGAAGAGCTATGAGACCCTGTGTTACATGAGCTGTTTGGATGCTCATTCATTGGCTTTGGTTGGGAAAGGATTGTCTACTTACATCTTTTCCAATCAGATCTCTCTGGTTTTCAATGACACCCCAAGGGGGAATGCCAACTGTCCAGATTTTCCTCAAGGACTTCGAGGCATGGGCTTTCAGGGCATCCCCAACATGTTTGGACACTCCTGTGAATAACCAGTTTACAAGTCAGATGTTAGCTCACAGAGCATGCAAATAGGGGCCGTCACAAAAAGAGACATGGATGAGTACGTGGAAAGGGCTGTTCTGGGGGAGGTTGCTGGAACAGTGGGATTCCATTCTAAATGCTTGGCTTCCTCTAGTCTGTCTTGAACACACACACATTCTCATCATTATCATCATCATCATCATTATACACATCATCACCAACCTCTGTGTCTGAAAAGTTCCCCTCTCTTTGAGCAATTTCTGCCTATCTCCTCAGTCCTGACCCTAATCTTGCCTGACCAGAATGTTCTGTGCATTGTCCTTTCTCAGCAAGCCCAGACTTGACATCATGAATGTCTTAAGTACTCTTATCTCTAAGCTTCTTCAATGCCCTAGCAAGACAGCTTATACATGGTGTTCCTTATGCATTGAAGTAAACTCATTTAGTAGCTCTACTATAAAACATATTCCAGCTGGGAGCCAGTGGCTTATGAGTATAATTCCAGCTACTCAGGAGGCTGAGATCTGAGGATTGGGATTCAAAGCCAGCCCAAGTAGAAAAGTCCCCCCAAGACTCTTATCTCCAACCACTCAAAAACTGGAAGTAGCCTGGCACCAGTGGCTCATACCTGTAATACTGGCTACTCAGGAGACTAAGATCTGAGGATCATGGTTTGAAGCCACCCTGGGCAGGAAAGTCCATGAGACTCTTATCTCCAGTAAACTACTCAGAAAAAAAAAAAAAAAAAACAGAAGTGGCACTGTGGTTCAAGTGCACTGGCCTTGAGCAAAAGAAGCTCATGGACAACACCCATGCCCAGAGTTCAACCCCCAAGACTGGCAAAAGATAAAAAGGAAGTGGAGCTTGTGGCTCGAAGTAGTAGGGAGCTAGCCTTGAGCAAATGAGCTCATAAAATTAAATTAAAATGTTCCAGAACTAGTACATTAAGGAGTAATACATTCATATTTACCCTCCTGGGATTAATAATAATAGCAACTATTATAACACTCAGAACTTGGTGACACAGAAATACCTCAGTAAGAGTTAGCTAGCTTTTACACACTTACACTTTAAGTATGAATGCCTTTATGAATGTTTTATTACCTTTAAGTAGGTGTACAAGGGAGGTGCCATTTAACAAAGCAGTTTATGAATACTATACAACTTGATCAGTGTCACCCCTTAACCCCCCCTTCACTACTTTTCTTAACATGTATATATAATGAATTTTTGACTGCCTTCTCCCTCTCTCCCCCTTCCTCCCTGGTCCTACTCCTCCTCTTTCATATACCCATTTCCTGATGAGGATTTTGTTGGGCTTTGACCTAGTGTTTTTTTTTAAAGATTATATATTATTATATATATTATATTTCAGATCTCTATAGAGTCTATTATACTTCAGTTAATTCACTTGCAACCACCTGCGTACCACTCAATGCGCTTATTTGTAGGTTTATAGGCTGACTCTAGCTACCATACATGAGGTAAAACATGCAAACATTGCTTCCATGGGTATGGTTTACTTCACCTAATATAATCACTTCCAAGTCTATTTCCTTATTAGTGGTGCAATGCCATTCTTTCTAATGGATGAATAAAATTCTATTGTACATATATACATTGTGTATATATACATACATTTTCTTGATCCATTTGTCCATTGAGGGGCATTTGGGCTGATTCCATATCTTGGCTATGGTGAATAATGCTGCAATGAACATGGTTGTGCTGGTGGCCTTACTGTAACCTTGTTTGTATTCTATTGAGTAGAATTGCTGAGCCGGCAAAACTGGAAATCCACATGCAGAAAACTAAAACTAGATCCTCATATATCATCTTGCACCAGCATCAATTCAAAAAGAATCAAAAACCTCAATGGAAGATCAGAATCCACAAAACTATTACAGGAATGCAAAAGAGAAATACTAGGGCTTCTGGGCATGAGTTGAAAGTTTCTAAAATCCAGAAATACAACAAATCAAAGAAAGACTGGATAAATGGGATTGCATCAAATTTAAGTTGCTGCACAGCTACGTAGGGATTTTTATGCCTCATTTTTCTAGATAAAAATGTGGCACACAGGGATCAATATCATGCTCAAGGTTATAACTGGTCATCATTATCATTATCATTATTCTTGTACAATATTGGGGCTTGAATTCAGCATCTCATATTTGATAGACAGACACCACTTGAACCATGTCTCTATTTTTTTTCTCTGGTTATTTCTAAGTTAGGATCTCGATTTTTGCTCTGGCTGAACTGAACCATTCCTTTTTATATTTTTGCCATAGCTAGAATGAACAAGCAGAGTCTATCATGCCATTTTTTTTCTGTTGAAATGAAGTCTTTCACTTGGTGGTGGGGGAGGAAGAGGTGAACTGGACTGGTCTTGCAACCACCATCTTCCTCATCTTAGCCTCCTGAATAGCTAGGATGACAAGTACACACCACTGCTCCTGTACATGGTAAGCTGGTGGCATTCAGTCTAAGTAACTGTCAAATATTCGTGCCACATTATGGTCAGTTAAAGTTCCAAAGTGCATCAAGAGGAGACAGGAGCTTATGTACAGAGAAACATCTAGAGGTGTTTCATAAAAATAGTTCTGGTTCTAGGCTGCAATGCTTGATAAGAAATGTACTCATTATCTTGCCCATGTAATTGTAACCCCTCTGTACAGTATATTCACAAAAAAAATAAAAATTTAAATTTAAAAAAAAAAGAAATAAAAAACAAATGCACCTCACAAGTGATTGTACAGAAATAGCCAGTAAAGGAAGGAAGAAAAAAAAATAGTTCTGGTTCTGTTTCTCATTTTGCAGACCTAGAGTGTAGTTTGAGGTCTGATAACTCATTTTCATACTACTATATAGGACATTCTTTAGATTAGCTGATGCTGATTTAAACAAAAATTAAGCAGTAAGTAAAAAAAAGGAAAAATCTTTGGCTATGTCTACCTTTTCCTGAACTTGGTGAATTGTCCCTACATTTATTACTGGAAATAATATAAGTCTTAAGCCATAAACTTAGGACTTTGCTGGCTTTGGTTTGTTCCAAGAAGGTGACACAATAATAATCTATAAAATGTATGTCATGAACTATTAAGTACCTATTAGTGACAGGACAAATCCCTTGCTTTTTTTTGTTTTTTTATATATCTGTTTGTTGTTTTTCATTTGTTATCTGTTATTGGCTTCCTTCATTCCTTTTCAGTTAAAAAAAAAAAATGTGTGTGTTAAATTGGTCTGTGTTTCTGAATACTTAGGCAAATGTGTCCGTCCTGACCTCAGGTGCACTGCCAGGTGAGAGTGCAAGCTAGTGGGAACTCATCCTGATGCGGGAGGAAAATAGAAACACAGCACAGAAGCTGGCATGAGCAATGGCTGAGGAAATGCAAAGACGGAAGTGAGAAGCTCTAGCTGAGATACCACAGGCTGCTGAGTGGTTGTAATGGATGTAATGTTGATCTTCAAGGATGGGCATCATTTATTCTAGACACCTCACAGCGAAAGAGAGAAAAGTGAAGAGAAGATGGAGTGCACCACAGGCTAGCAACAGACTGGTGGGAGACAAAGGTCAAGGTGCTCGATCTGTATGATTAGACACACTTCTGAAGCTCACCTAAGGCAGACACACAGGCGCCTGTATCTCTTCAAAGCTCCCAGGTGATTCTAATGTACAGATTGTTCATGTACTCTGATGCATAGGAATAAGGTTTGGTGGGTGGGTGGGGGAAACCATTGTGTGAGGTTTAAAAGTCAGTGAATCGTAACAGGAGAGTTAGAGGCAAGAAGATCCTTCATTGAAGGGCACCATACACACACACACATGCACACACACACAAGAAGGAAAGGGGAAAGGAAGGAGGAGGAGGAAGAGGAAGAGGAGGAGGAGGAGAGGAAGAAGAAAAAGAACAAGAAGAAGGAGGAGGAAGAGGAGGAGGAAGAAGAGGAGGAAGAGGAAAAAGAAGAAAGTCATAGAGATTGCGACATAAGGGTATTAGCAGTCATGGGAGAATAAAAACAATTGTCGTGTTCGCTTTGGCAGCACATATACTAAAATTGGAATGATACAGAGAAGATTAACATGGCCCCTACACAAGGATGACATACAAATTCATGAAGCGTTCCATATTTTTAGTGCTGCAGGAATATCAATACCAAATTTCAAACTTTATTACAAAGCCATAGTAATCAAAACAGCTTGGTACTGGCACAAGAACAGACCTCAGGACCAATAGAATAGAATTGAAAACCCAGAAAGGAACCCATAGACCTATAGCCATCTAATCTTTGATAAGGGAGCTAAAAAAATAGAATGGAAGAAAGACAGCCTCTTCAGTAAATGGTGCTGGCAAAATTGGTTAACTACTTGCAGAAAACTAAAGCTAAACTCTTATATATCACCCTGCACCAGAATCAACTCCAAATGGATCAAAGACCTCAGAGTCAAAGCAGACACTCTGAAAACATTACAGGGTGGAATAGGAGAAACCCTAGGTCTCCTTGGCACAGGACAAAATTTTCTTAAAAGAGACCCAGAAACAAAACAAATCAAAGAAAGGTTGGTCAAATGGGACTGCATGAAATTGCAAAGCTTCTACATGGCAAAGCATAGCAAGCCAGATTAATAGACATAGCTAGCAAGATCAATAGAAAGCCCATGGATTGGGAACAGATCTTCACTAGCCATACAACAGATAAAGGTCTCATTTCTAAAATATACCTGGAACTCAAAAAATTAAATCCCTCAACAACAAATCTTCAAAGAAACAACTGCCCAATAAATAACTTGGCTAAAGACTTACAGAGAAACTTCTCTGAAGAGGAAAGAAGAATGGCCAATAGACACACGAAGAAATGCTCACCTCTCTAGCCATAAAAGAAATGAAAATCAAAACATTGAGATACCACCTCACCCCAGTCAGAATGGCTATAATCAAGAACTCTAATAACAACAGATGCTGGAGGGGATGTGAACAGAAGAGAACCTTACTGCATTGTTGTTGGGAGTGTAAACTTGTTCAACCACTTTGGAAAGCAATATGGAGGTTCCTCAAAAGACTCCACATAGATCTCCCTTATGACCCAGCAATCCCACTTTTGGGCATTTACCCAAATGATCACAAACAAGACCATACTAAAGCTACCAGCACAACAATGTTCATTGCAGCATTATTTACCATAGCTAAGATATGGAAGCAACCCAGATGCCCCTCAGTAGATGAATGGATCAAGAAAATGTGGTATATACACAATGGAATTCTATGCCTCCATCAGAAAGAATGACATTGCCCCATTTGTTAGGAAATGGAAAGACTTGGAAAAAATTATATTAAGTGAAGTAAGCCAGGCCCAAAGAAACATAGGTCCCATGGTTTCCCTTATTTGCAATAACTAGTATATGTCCGAGACAAGCAGAAATGGTCAGATAAGTTGATGTTAGGTGAAAGGAACACCAAGATAAGGATTCAAATGTTTTTTTTTTCTTTCTTGCAATTGTTTCTAACATATTTATAAGATGATTTCTTTGTTGCTTTGTATGTCCCTCCTCCATGGTATAACCCCTGTTTTCACTGTATTTGATGTTGGTATACTTTGTGGAGAGGAAGGGGAAAAAACAAACTGTTTAAATAGGGATACAGGTGGATCCATTGCAACAATGAGGTCTACAAGATGTTATGTTGAAAAACGAACTTTAAACTTTGGTGCCGGTGGTGGGAGGGGGAGGGTGGTGGAGGGATGGGAAGGGGAAACAAAAGAGGAGGCTACAATGCTTGATAAGAAATGTACTCATTATCTTGCCCACGTAATTGTAACCCCTCTGTACGGTGTTCTCACAATAAAAAAAGAAAAAAACAATTGTCTACTTATACTAATAAAAAACAATGTAATTTTCACGAACTTGCTGGTGAATACATGAATTTAGCTAATGTCCAGGCTCACACACACACACTACATACTTGCACAGATTTGATGTCCCCTTTAACCTCAAAATAGTACTGATAAAAGAACATTTCCTAGATACCCTGCATTTCATGGCAGAGAGCAAAGGAGGATGGGAGGAAGAGATAAATTGCTCAGTTGACAGCTAGCACCAACACTAATAAAAAGATTGTTCCGTGTGCCGGAATGTGTGTTGAAAGAGCTGCTCAGACCCCAAGTGACTGGCAAGGTGCTACTGAGTCCTGCTCTCAACAATCCAGACACAGTACTTCTGCAAATAATCCTACGGCACATTATCCCACTCACATCGTCTGTAGCCAGCGTAGTAAGACCAGCATAAGCGTGGATGCTTTCCCTTTCTAAGCAGTTACCATAAAAATGCTCTTCACTAGCCTTGAACTGAAGACCTGAGGGAAAGCCCTCAGGCCCAGAGTTCAAGCCCCGTGACCGGCAGAAAAAGAATGTTGTGGGCTCTGGGGTTGGGTAAACACATCTCTCTCTGCTTTCTAGTCCGGCTGGGGCAAGGAACTTGTTCCACGACATGGTTCTTCTTTTGCCTAGCATCCGGAAAGGCTCCAGATTCTCTTGGATTTCAGAAAAGTTAGTCTCAAGACTTTGTAGGTGAAGTTCCAGAAGGACAGTTTTTTTTGCTAGAAGTTTACTTGAGGTTACATTATAATAGCTGATACCTTTTAATGATTTTAAATTGGTGGGGGGGAATCCCTGTGATTCACCTGGGTTCATTTCACAGTCACAAGTCCAAGTCTTGTCTTCATGCACTGTATCTTCCGCAAGCACTGCGGAACACAGATTTGGTGCCATGTGGCCAGATTCTCAGAAGGAAGGAAAGAAAGAAGGAGGGAGGGAGGGGAGGAGGGAGGGAAGGAAGGAAGGAAGGAAGGAAGGAAGGAAGGAAGGAAGGAAGGAAGGAAGGAAGGAAGGAAGGAAGGAAGGAAGGAAGGAAGGAAGGAAGGAAGGAAGGAAGGAAGGAAGGAAGGAAAGGGGGGGAGACAGACAGACAAAATTTCTATTACCCGAGTTGATGCCTTCTGTTATTATCCATGCTCCGGTTGTCTCTGCAGCTTTAACCAAACCCTGGCTGAAGGTGTCTTTAAGCTTGGCAGGCATCTTGAAGTTCTGGAGCCCTCCATGGACGGAAATCACCAGCTTTGGCAGCTCCATCCTCCACTCATTCAACATCAGATGTAGCAGATGGTCCAACTTGGTGTCATAGGACGTTCTAATATACTGAAAGACAAGTTACAGAGCCATGACCAGAATGCGGTGAAAAATTCCATACTGGATACAGAAATGACACAGCAGGGCAACTAACATGGCCACAAGCCAACAGGAAGTTAGGCTCTCTCTACAAGTTCATCTTCACATAGTGGAACTATTTACTTCCAAAGATTCCTCAATCTCTTCAAGTTCCTTCTGGGAATTGAAAGTCACTACAGAAAGTTTCCCCTGTGTGGAGGGTTCACCCCCAGTATTCCTTCGAGAAAGCCTGAAGTGAGGCAGAAATTCTTCCAACAACTGGCAAAAATCACTACCCCAGCAAACTCATTAATAGAAAGCTGTAAGAAGTAGGTGAAATGAGCCAGAAAGTCCCTGAGCCTCTGATCTCCAAGTAAGCACCAAAGAGACCTGAAATGGATCTGTGGCTCACGTAGTATACTGCCAACCTTAAACAAAAAAAGCTCAGGGAAGCAGGGCACTGTTGGCGCATGCCTTATAAACCCTTGCTACTCAGGAGGCTGAGATCTGAGGGCTGCCATTCAAAGCCAACCCAAGCAGGAAAAACTGTGACACTCTTACCTGAAGTTTACTACCCAAATGCCAGAAATAACACTGTGGCTCAAAGTGGTAGAACACTAGCCTTGAACACAAAAAGCTCAGGGACAGTGACCAGCCCCTGAGTTCAAGTCTCCCCGCCCCAGCACACACAAAAGAAAAAGGTATAAAAATAATCAGGTGATCCTTTTTAAATGATTCCTATTGTCCAACTGATGAATTAAAGTGAAGAAAGCAACTCTGGCTTGACGTATCATTCTCAACCTCAACTCTTCCTCTCAAGTGATCTTCTCTCTCATCTGTAAGTCCCCTTGGTGAAACAAGGTATTTCTAATTAATATTTGAGGATACATAAACTTGGAAAGAGGGAAGAGAGCATCAATCTAGCTTTGACAAAGGAATCAATACCCAATAACTTTCACAATAAGTCCAGGTCTTCTGATCATCTACCCTTGGAGACTATCACATACAGAAGCAGAAAAATGACTTCGATTCTTAACAAACCTTGGAGTGGTAGATATGCTCTCCATCTTGGAAATTAATGGTGCCAAAGCTGTCTGTGGGGCTTTTCACTGTGTGTTTTTCAACAGACCATAGTTCATTCTCGTTAATGCTCCAGGGATAATCTTTCCCTTGATGGTCTTGGCTCAATCGTCCACAGTGGCATCTGAATCCAAAAAAATGAGCAACGTCAGAATAGAAAATCAAAGCGAGGCCTCTCCAGTTTGCTACTGTATTGTATAGATGCCATATGTTGAAAATCTGTAAAACTTCACCATAAGATTTGCATTTGCAACATTGGATTGTCTTCTAAATTTAGAAACCCCTTAAAAGTTTCTCTCCTTTGGCTAGACATAAGAATTATTTGAGGACTATTTTATTATTATTATTTCTTATTAGTGAGGGGGGCGGGGTTCTGGGTCTGGGTCTGTGTATCTGTGTGCCAGTACTTCAGCTTGAACTCAAGGCCTAGGAGCTGTCTCTTGGCATTTTTCTCAAGGCGACTCCTCTACCACTTGAGTATGACTTCACTTACCTACAGGAGCCAGATTCACAGACTGAATGTCACAGGGAAGCCAAGGTTGCCTTTTAAATGGGAAGTTATGCCAAACACTGGTGGCTCACACCTGTAATCCTAGCTACTCAAGTAACTGAGATCTGAGGATTGCAGTTGAAAGCCAGCCCAGGCAGGCAAGTCTGTGAGACTCTTATCTCCAATGAACCACCAGAAAAGTAGGAAATGGAAGGATGGCTCAAGTGGTAGAGCACTAACCTTCAGTAAAAATGGCAGGCAAGAATGTGAGGTTCTGAGTTCAAGTCCCAATAAAAGCACACACACACACACATCTAATAAATTGTGTTTTATATAAAATATAGTATTTATACACAAAAATGAAGGATTATTAATCAATGCAAAAAGTTGCAACATTAAAGATACATGTAAGCACAGAACCTTACTGAAAACATAAGTAAATCATGGTCATGAAAAAGATTTGACTATAATCATAGTTAATATATGTGACATAATTTTCAGAGAGCAAAACATTAAAAAAAATTCTTATAAACAATTAGCAATTTTGACAACAATGTTTAATATAAATAGCATCATAATTTCTACTAAAGAACAAAGTTGAGCCAGGCGCTGGTGGCTCACGCCTGTAATCCTAGCTATTCAGGAGGCTGAGATCTGAGGATCGTGGTTCAAAGCCAGCCCGGGCAGGGAAGACTGTGAGACTCCAATCTCCAATAAACCACCAGAAAACCGGAAGTGGCACTGTAGCTCAAGTGGTAGAGCGCTCGCCTTGAGCTGCAGAGCTGAGGGACAGTGCCCAGGCCCAGAATTCAGGCCCCACGACCAACAACAAAAAAAAAGAACAAAGTTGACTATTCATATTAAGCTCTTAAGGTTAAACCTTAAGACCAAAATTATATAAAAACTAACAAAAATGAGTATCGTGCTTATGAAAGTATAATAAACTTCTCATCTTTCACAAATTAGGGGGAAATGCAAGGAAACTAAAAATATATAGAAGTTTAAAACTTTCTGTAGTAAAAAATTATCCATCTGCATATCTATTACATCAAAAGAAATTATTCCACTAACTCCAGAATGAAATGATTTTGGCCTTGTATACTTCAGACTAGAAGAAGAGCAACTAATAAATAATTACCTATAAAAAAATTCGCCTCTGCTGCAATTATTCATTCAGGCAATCTTGAATATTTAATAAATCTTAATCTCACTGAGGTTAGCAAAAAATGAAATTATACCATTAAAGGAAGATAAAAATCATCTGAAATTATCACAGTCACACACCCCCAAAGACACCAACGTTGGAGCTACATATTTGAAGAGTATATTCCAGACAGAGCATTCTGCCTTACAACTTTGATCTTTTCCTCAATATTTCTCAGTAACTGATAAAAACAAGTTGACACAAAGTCAATAAATGCCAGTATATTACTTGTAGAAAACTAAAGCTAGATCCTTCTATATCACCCTGCACCAGAATCAACTCCAAATGGATCAAAGACCTGGGAGTCAAAGCAGACACTCTGAAAACATTACAGGATGGAATAGGAAAAACCCTAGGTCTCCTTGGCGCAGGCCGAAATTTTCTTAATAGAGACCCGGAAACACAACAAATCAAAGAAAGGTTGGATAAATGGGATTGCATGAAGTTGCAGAGCTTCTGCATGGCAAAGGACATAGCTAGCAAGATCAATAGAAAGCCCACGGATTGGGAGAAGATCTTCACTAGCCATACAACGGACAAGGGTCTCATATCTAAAATACACCTGGAACTCAAAAAGTTAAATCCCCCAAGAACAAATCTACATATTAAATATTAGTTAAGAGATGTTAAATTATAGATGCCCTAATTTATTATTGTTCTGTTTATAACTACAAACACTACAAAGAACAAATAACCTAAATATCCACTCAGTAAAGGATCCAAGTGTTAAAGCATCAGCCTTGAACCAAAAAAGCTCAGCAAGAGTGTCAGACCTCTTGAATTGAAGCCACAGTACTCACCCAGAATCAAGCAAACAAACAAAGAGGATGTTACTACTGCAAATAAGCTCATATGCTTGGTGTGCACACACACACTACTTGAGATAAAAATAAAATACAGCATCCTATCCGCAAGAAGTCTCATTGCCTCCAAATATAACGTGTGAGAATAAAATTAAAGTATAATACTTAAGTATTTCAGGTGGTAAAAAGCCCTTGCCAAACCCTCTTAGCCAGATAAATGTCTCAGTAGCACAAATAACCTATTACATTCAGATAGTCCCTCTCCATCAAAAAAGTACAAAATAAAACCAAAACACAAATCTCCTTGTGAAAGTCAAATAACATATACATTGTCCTGACTATAGAAACTGTCCAACACTCTTTTGGAGACAGAGCCTCACAATTAACAAGTTCGTTTATCTTTTTTTTTTTTTGGTCCAGAACTTGAACTCAGTACCTGATCAATGTTCACTCATTGGCTGGCACTCTACCAAATGAGCCACATCTCCAACCCAAAGAAGCTCATTTATCTAAATCATACTGGACTAAGTTCTGACAGATTTAGCAGCCTGGCATACTTCTAAATTAAAGAAATAAAATATCTGTTCATTTACTGATACATTTAAATATATATTTAAGGTTTATACAGTAGATTTCTATTATTTTCCATAGACTGGGAATCAGGATTTATGGAGTATTCATACATCATTTACTTTCTCTGTCATATCCCATAATTGTACATATGGTAGCAATGGCATACCTGTACTATAAAAAAGAAGAGGTAATTAACACAGCATAGAGTTTGGAACCAAAGTACAACAGGAAAATCTCATTGCTCCAGTGAGTCCTCTAGAGTCCAGATTTTGGGGGGTATTTTTGTTTGTTCAGTTGGTTGGTTGGTTTTTGTTTTTGTTTTTGTTTTTGTTTTTGGGTCAGTTGTGGGTGTTGAACTTAGAGAGTGGGCACTGTCTCTGAGCTCTTCAGCTCAAGGCTAGCGCTCTACCACTTTGAGCCACAGCTCCTCTTTCAGTTTTCTGGTGGTTAATTGGAGCTAAGAGTCTCATAGACTCTCTGGATACTTTCGGATTTCATATGAGCTCTTGTTCACTTCCCTAGGTTTCTTTTTAGGGTTTGGATGAGTATTTTATGGAATTTGAGTTTGCAGGTATATAACTTATCACTACTAATATTTCTTTTTTCTGAATTAAAAAAGAATCCTCTGCACTGGGAGATTAGCATTGTGATGGCCAAGGGTAAAGTGTTCAGTGTGAAGTTAAACTCCCATTGAACGGTGGAAGGAACGGTGGAGCTCATGAAATGAGGAGCCTCAATGACTCAGAAACTAGACCTCTCTGCCAGATGCCAGTGGGTCACATATGTAATCCTAGACGCTCAGGAGGCTGAGATTTGATGATTGCAGTTCAAAGCCAGACCAAGCAGAAAAGTATGTGAGAATCTTACCCCAATTAACCAGCAAAAACAATGAGAAGTGGAGCAGTGGATCAAGCAGAAGAACACCAACTTTGAATTGAAAAAGGTTAATGGTGTGAGGCACTGAGTTTAAATCCTAGTACTGGGCGCCGGGGCGGGCGCGGGAGATGGGAAGGGATGGGAAGGGGAAACAAAGGAGGAGGCAACAATGCTTGATAAGAAATGTACTCATGACCTTGCCCATGTAATTGTAACCCCTCTGTCCAGTATTCTCACAATAAAAAAAAAAAATTCTAGTCCTGGGGTTTGAACTCAGGGCCTGGGCACCTTTGCTTAGCTTTTTTCCTTAAGGCTGGTGCTCTACCACTTGAGCCATACCTCCACTCTAGCTTTCTGGTGATTAATTGGAGATACGCATCTCACAGACTTTCCTGCCTGGGCTGGCTTTGAAACTTGACCCTCAGATCTCAGCCTCCTGACTAGCTAGGATGACAGGCGTGAGCCACCAACACCCAGCTCAATCTGTTTTGTGGCTATCATCACATTATAAGGTATCATAAACATGAAAGGAAAACAAGGCAATGTTACCTTGGTGTTCTATAAACATTCTGTCAACAGGTAAAATAAGAATTTCCAACCCACAGGACTTACCAGCCTGGGTAATTCAATGTGGGTGGGACTAGTCAATGTTTAACAAAGGCCAGGAACGTGACTCTAGCCATCCCCAAAGGAGCCTCACCAGGCCCTGCATACATGGATAGTAATATTGCTAAAATCAGAATGGCCTCTAATTAAAATATTGTTTCTTCATCTTCCTTTTAATTTGCTCCCCCCCACCCCAAGGCAATAATCATCCAACCTTACAGTGGCCTCCATGACCCTGGGGAATTTTCCATAACCCTCCCTTCCTCTCTCTTCCTTAGGCTAACCTTGTTGAACTTTGTTCTACAAGTTGAGTTTCCAAAGGGTTTCTGTGGTCAAACTCAAGCCATCTGCCTTGCAGCCTACTCCCTGCTGACACAAAAAGTCTCTGAACGGAAAATGGAGTTAAAATTACCTGTCTGAATCATCTGAACACACTGTCCTGAAATGTCCTGAGCAGCTACCATTTGCCACAGATAAAGTTTTGTTGGAGATAAAGAGTATTCACAATATTTTGAATCATCAGTTCTGTGTACTGTGTATTATTTAAGCAGACAAGATGTTCTATACATTATCCAAACAATGTATACTACCCATTGGGACGGATGCATTATTTCCCTATAATGTCTATTCCTCCTCCACCTCCATCCATCCACCCACCGTCAAGAGGGGGAAAAAAGACGGAGTGGTGCTGTGGCTCAAGTGGTAGAGCATTAGCCCTGCACACAAAGAAGCTCGGGGACAGCATCCAGGCCTGAGTTCAAGCACCACAACTGACAGAGAGAGACAGAGAGAGGGAGGGAGCACTGAGTGGAATGAAATCACAACAATCAGAACAGTGATGTCATTATGTGTAACTTCTTTCCCCTGAAGATTTCATTCATTCAATAACCAGATAAGCTTCCTTAGTGATTGCACAGGGGCTTAACTTAGGTACAAAGCTGACAGTCCTTTCTTCTTACCAGATTGTCTACAATAATGGAAAAGCAACAGACATATATTAAAATAAATGAATACTCCAGCTGCTGCTGGCTCACATGTGTAATTTTAGCTACTCAGAAGGCTGAGATCTCCCATTGCAACAATGAGATGTACAAGTCGTTATGTCGAAAAACGAACTTCACAACTTTGGGGGGTGGGAGGATCGGGTGGAGGGAGGTAGGGGGAGTATGGGAAGGGATGAGAAGGGGAAACAAAGAGGAGGCAACAATGCTTGATACTCATTATCTTGCCCATGTAATTGTAACTCCTCTGTTCAGTATTCTCACAATAAAAAATAAATTTTAAAAAAAAGAATTGGTAAAAAAAAAAAAAAAAAGAAGAAGAAGAAGGCTGAGATCTGAGGATGTCTGTTCAAAACTAGCTGGACAAGAAAGTTTGTGAGATTCTTATCTCCACTCAAACACCAAAAACCCAGAAGTGGAGCTGTAGCTCAAGTAGTAGAGCACCAGCCTGGAATGTAAAAGCTAAAGGACAATGCTCAGGTCCTGAGTTCAAGCCTAACACTGGCACAAAAACTAATAATACTAAATACTCATTTACACATATCATCAAACCCTCAAGACAAGTCCTATTTCTAAGTTTCTTTAGTATTCTAAGTAGTATTTTTTTTTAAATGCAATTAAACATTGTACCTGTGAGGGTCTTTTGAACTGGGTATGAATTTGTTACATTCTCTCTTGTTGAATACTCCTTCAATCCAGGATTTCTGGAACAGAAGAGAAAATGTCATTATCACATATTCTAATGGAGGGAAAAGCAGTGTGACCACAGCTGCTCAGGTAGGCCACAGGCCTTTGTGAGACATGGATGCTCATTGAGATTCCAAGGCTAGCCCAAAGCAAGTTAAGCAGTTATTGGTTTCCATAGCAGACAATATGCACACAAGCAAGTCAAAGATTTAGACAAAAAGTACTCATAAAATTAATCGGTCCATAATCTCACTTTGAGCAACAAGAGCTTACTAATACACAATTGGTGTGTTCACTTAATCTACCAAGAGTCACTCTTATTATCTTATGATATTATCTCATGCTATAAGCCTATGGCATGGATATTAAGCTCTCAGAACTTCAGAATTCTCACCCACAGAATCCCACTTTGGCTAAGATTTCATAAGAAGCTAGAAGGAGCATCAGAGGAAAGATGGCAAGATTCTTTGCCCTGTCTGTGAGCAGAGCTCACTTTTGGTTGTGGTATTTAAGTTTTGCACAGCATTGACTGAGGTGTTACAAAAGAGTCAATATGTCCTCAGAGAATTCTCCCTTCTGCATTTCAAAATACTTAAAGTCCATGAATTCATCCAAAAATGTTTTGGACAGGCATCTGTGTTGCATGGGAATTCTGTGCCAAACAGGAGAGCTCTTGCTGTCAGCAAATGTAGAATAAAAAGAAAGAAACATATAAAAACCGGTATCATTTCACTTCATGTGCATAATTAGTTATTAAATAAAGATGCAAACCAAGTATAATAGCACCCAGCTGTAGTGTTAGCTAGTTTCAAAGCTAAAGCAGAAAGATAGCTTGAGCCCAGGAGTTTGAAACGAACCTGAGCAATATAGAGAGATCTCTAATATAAAAACCCCCATATCAACATAGATAGGTAGGTAGGTAGATAGGTAGGAAGGATGGCTAGATAGATAGACAGACAGACAGACAGACAGACAGACAGACAGATAGATAGGCAGACAGATCAGCTGCAAGTAGGGTCTCTAATATAAGAGTCAAATGCACTAGGAAAGTTAAGCTCAGTCTTTTTTTGGGGGGGGGAGTGCTAATACTGGGGCTTGAACTACAAACTTCAAGGTCTTTCTTTCCTTTTTCACTCAAAGTACCTCAAGAAACAGCTCTACTTGCAGTTTTTTGTTGGCTTCTCAGAGATAAGAGTCCTGAATTTGTCTGCTTCACTTGGCTTTGAACCATGATCTGCACACCTCAACCTTCTGAGTAGCTAGAATCACAGGCATGAGCTACCAGTGCCTAGCTAGTCTCTCTTCTTTCCAAAGGTTGGCGAGCAGCTCTGTGTAGGACTTTTGGGGCAATTCACTCAAGCTCTTCATGCCTGTTTCTCTTCTATAAACATGACACAAATAACATGGACTCAGAGCTTGCTCAGTAGTCAAGCGCGTGTTAGCATTCCAAGTCCTAAACTCACTCCTACAAAACTCAGCACTAAAAATAGCAATAGTAAGAATAACATTTCTTCATAGAGCAATTGAAAGGATTATGTAAAGACAAGGCTAAGATTGTCCGGCGCTATTAGTTCACGCCTGTAATCCCAGCCACTCAGGCGGCTGATACCTGAGCATTAACGTTCAAACCCAGCTGGGCAATCGAGCATGTGAGACGTTTACCTCCAATGGATCATCCTAAAGCCAGATGTGGAGCCATGACTCGAGTGGAAGAGTGCCTTCCTTGAACAAAAAGGCAAATGGACAGTGCCCAGGCCTTCGGTTCAAGCCCCAGTACTGGTGCGTGCACACACACACACACACACACACACACACACACACATGCACACACAGACTTAGATCTCTTCCAGTTTATTCAGTCTCACTAAAGCTTAGCTCTCACAGTTGTCCAAAACAAAGGTAAAAAAAATACCTCTGGGTCCATGGATTGGGAACTTAAGTTCGTCCTATTTTTTCCATAGGGAAAAAAAATGCCTCTTTCTCTCCGAGTCACCCGTCACGCACCTCCCAGAATACAATCTAATTACTTTCCAGGTCCACTTTTTTCTTCCAAAACTCCAACTCATGTAGGCCTCTGCCCCTTTTCTGTTGCCCCAACCCAATGAGGATTGAATGAACAACAACACAAACACATTTAAAATAGAACTTCAAGCACCCTCGTGTAGAGTTTTCCCTCAAAGGTATAAACATGAAGCTGGTGCCACTGCAAGATATGAAAACTTGATTCCCACAACTCTTGCATCTCAGCTCGAAGCTATGGAAGCGATCATCAGCCTGGCCTGGCAAGGGTCTCGACAATTCTCACTTCAGGGCTCCACGTTTTCCTCACATGGTATCCTTTGCTGTTCGCTGAACAGAGATCCAACTGTTTACTGGTTGTAGTTCAACAATCCAAATCCATACCTAACGTGTCAGTTTATGCTAATGGAGCAGTAAACAGTGGCAATTACAGTTAAGAGTGGAAACTTGGCCATTTCTGCAGCCGTTCTGGTGCTGGTTCTTCATAGAGTAGATGCTCATGTGGTAGAGCGCCAGCCTGGGAAAATCCAAGCAAGGCCAAAGGTCCTGAGTTTAAGACCCAAAAACGGGGGATGGGGGAGAGATTACAGATTACAGATATAGTTTGGTGGTAGAGCATTTTCCTGACATGCACTAGGTCCTGGGTTCTATTCCCAGCACCACAGGTATGAGAGGTGGGCTAAGAAGAGGCCGTTACTGTATTTGTCTTGAGCCTGCAACCTGCAGGAAACCACCAGAGCTGTTCAAATGAAGAAATAATATTTCCAGACTTCAGAGTACCATTTGATCCTTTTATTTTTGCAGAGCTACATTTGGAGCACGACTTCTTCAAACTGAGTGCGGGGCAGATGGGCTTCCGGGGGTGCGCGTGCAATCTGTTAGCGGGGGAAGCCATCAGAGGAAAACCATCTCACTTACTTGGAAGAGTCAGCCCCGGCCTCATGCAAGGCGCTGTCTGAACATCGCAGGGAGGCCTCATCTGACTCGCTGAGACCAGGAGGAAAGGTCTCAGGAAAACATCCAGATCCAAAGCATGCACAAATGAAAGCCCTGTTCCCAACCAAACTCTCGTGGTATATGGACTTACTTCTTATTAAATTATCTTGGGGCAGGGGGGAGGAGGCAGGTCAGCATTTAATATAAACTCAGAAAGAGTTGGCATTTGGGAGAGTAAGGGCGGCACATAAAAGGATGAACAAATACAACAGTGGCGCTACTAGACACTATGTGGAAAACGAACTGGATAGCTTGTGGGTGGGGCTGGGAGGGAAAGACTGGGAGAGAGGACACAAGGGAAGACATGGTTCAGAGAGAATTGTACCCACTACTCTTTACCTGATTCGTGAAACTGTAACCCCCCAGCATATCAACTCTACAACAGATAGATAGATAGGTAGATAGATAGATAGATAGATAGATAGATAGATAGATAGATAGATAGATAGATAGATAGATAGATAGATTAGAACAATTAGCCTAAAACTTCTTAACTAAATGTTTAAAGGAACATATTCACCCAAAAGTACATAAGAGCTTTGTCTTCTATTTTTGTTCATCTCTGAAGGCAGCAGGATTTTCCTACTTGCTTCTGCACTTAAAGCATTGCAATATGTTTTTGGTTACAGTATATAAAGAAGAGAGGTTCCCATGTAATTGTAACCCCTCTGTACAGTATTTTCACGATAAAAATTAAAATTAAAAAAAAGAAAAGTGGCTTCACACTGATATATAGTCAGAAAAGGAGAAAGTATATTAATATCCTTTTTAGACCATTGTGTTTTATTTTTTGTTGTAAGCTAGAGATGGAACCCAGGGCCTCAGGCATGCTAGGCGAGTGCTCTACCACTGAGCCACATCCCAGCCCAAGATAGTTCGGAATTCATCATATAACCTTGAGAAAAGTATATGCATGAAAGTATGAGTTAAAAGGACAAATTATGTCCCCATGCTATTATGAAAATAAATTTGACTTGGGGGTGTCAGGAAGCCGGGTGCTGGGGGCTTGCCCCTGTACACCTAGTTATTCAGGAAGTTAAGATCTGAATATTTCAGTTTGAGCCCAGCCTGGGCAGAAAATTCTGGGAGACTTTTATCTCCAATTACCCAGCAAAGAGCTAGAAATGGAGGTGAGGCTCAAGTGGTAGAATACCAGCCTTGAGGAAAAGTAGACGAGCCAGATTTTCACAGAGAGAGAGTGAGAGGGGGGGGGGAAGGAAAGGAAAGGAAAAGAAAGAGGGAAGGGAAAGGAAAGAGGGAAGGGAAAGGAAAGAGGGAAGGGAATGGAAGGGAAGGGAAGAGAAAAGAGAAGGGTGAAGGGAAGGGAAAAGAAAAGGGAGAAAGGAAAGGAAGGGAAGGGGGAAAAAAAAGAAAGGAGTACTTAGCCAACTGCTAGCCTATGACTGCACAGGCTCCCCAAGGCCGGATGAGTGAGCAGGAATCCACCATTCTCCAGACAACCTGACTTCCTGTGTCCATAGCATACTTACTCTGTGTACTTCAGCTCAACGAGTAGACCGCAGTATTTCAAGACCTCCCTGTTTACCCTCATACTCAACTGAAGGAAGTTCCAGCAGAAAGAAAAAGCACTTTACAGATTAAAATCCTCACATTTTGTACCTGATGGGCAATGTGCAGCACTTCAAGGGTTATTTTGTGTGCATTCCATTTTTAACACTATAGCTGACTTCAATGCTTTACTGCACCCACTCTCCTAACGATGCCATTAAAAATGACCTTCCAGTGACCTTGCAAGCATTGTGGCATGGCGGACCAAGCTTTAGGAAGTATATGTTCTACCAGTTTATCCACTCCTCCTTGAAGACACCGATAAACCTCTACAACAACAGCATCATTCATTTATCAAAGAATGCTTTGACAACTCATTCTAATAAAAATAAGGTTTGAGATCATCGTAACTCTGCAGTAAAGCACTTATGTAGTATAAGCATGCTCCTGGGTTTAACCAGCTAATTTAAAGTCCCAAGTGTTAATGTCATAT